GCCTGCTTCCAACCCAGGCGGACGGCGATGACGCAGTCCGCCCGAGATATCGGGTCGGCGATGTTGGCCTCCGAGGTCACTCGATGGAAGGTAGGCCTCCATGAATGCATTGCCGCCAGAGACCAGAAGGCGGAGAGTAGGCCGTTGACTGATGGGTCTCGACCATAGCCCTTATTGAGCGCCCACTGGCCTGCAGCGTTGTCTATGAAGGCCACCCAATCCTCGCCCAGGGCGTCGGCGAGGGTCACGACTGCGAGGATCTGGGCAAGGACCTCGAGCATGTAGATGTTAGGCTCGCCTGGTGTCGAATTTCCGCACGAACCAGGCTGGCACTGAGCCGGAGTCATACCACGCGGTGTCGCCCACCCGGACGACGTAGCCCCAGCCGTTGGCACTTCGGTGGTGATGTGCCATCGGAGCATTGGCTGGCACCCATCCTGCTTGGTGTCTAAGCTTACACCACGCAGTTGACCGCCCGTGGGGCGGTGAATGGCACCAGGCGGGGTGGGACCTGTTGCAGCAGTGCCGCAATGGCCAGGAGTGCGGCCTGGAGCCCAGGAGTGAGCTCGGATTTGTTGCTGGCGTAAATGGGCGCCACCGACGCCCCCCACCTTACCAAACACTGTCTGGTTGACAAAATTGAGCTTGCCCGCCAGGCGGTGGGCCGTCTCCGGGGTGAGGCGGTTCTCCTGAATGGCCGCCTCAATGATGCCGAGGCGTTTTTCGGTCGGCGCCAAGGTGGCGCCGTCGCGTCCCAGGCTGAGCTGGATCCCTCGCCCGGGCTCTTGGACGCCTTAGTGTTGAGTCCCATGAGCAGGAAGAAGTCGGCGAAGCCGTGGAAGGCGGAGTCCGCGAGGTCCGTGGCATCCACCCCGTTGAAGTCGTCGACGTAGTGGCCGCCCACGAGGAAGAGCAGGGTGGGAGTGAGGAACTGCAGTGCGTCTCCTGCTCCATTGAAGTTCCACACCGAGGCCGCCGCCCCGAAACACATAGCGTGGTGGAATGAAAGGGTAGGTCCCGAAACGGTGCGCAAGATGGTGCCGCTATGGGACGGCACTTTGACCGGCCACTGGTGGTAGGCGTTGAGGAGGTCATAGCCCCAGAGCCGGACTGTCTGACATATCCACATAGTCGCCCACCACGTGGTGAGTGGGGACGTCGGAGGCCTGTACTGTGGCGTTGTGATGGGACCTGCGCATCCCCTCCGAAGCTTGACCTTGCCTGCCTCGTCCTCTTGGATAATGGCGAAGGAGGCCGCCACGAAGGTATCTCCGGGAGGTGGGTCGACCAGGCGGTCGAGCCTGGAAGTTGGCAGCAGGGACACATCGCCGCAGCCATCCCGGCGGTGCCTTGCACGGCCCACGCACTCTGCCCAGGCGAGCTTTCTCAGCAAGCTCGGCCAGCAGAGCGTCGGTGAGCTTTTGGCGCAGGTACGCCCAGTTGTCCGCCCGCAGCACGTCCAGGACGTGGGCGTCTGGTAACGGCCATCCTGGCGCGCAGGCCAGCCTGGTCTGGGCCGAATGCGCCCTATCATGTCGAAGCCCTCTGTAAGGTCCGACTTGACGCCGTCCATGTCGGGGTAGCCCCGTGCCAGGACTTCTCCCCGATTGGGCCCGGGGAGGGCCACCAAGGCGCAAGGGGACGCCTAGTTCACGCAGGCGATCTTTGACGACTCCCGGGCTACAACACCGCCTCCATCTTCGAGAACGTCCTCATGAACTCGGTCGACGCGAAGACGGTGACCGAGAAGCTCGGATGTCAGCCGGTGTTCGCCTGCGCGGGCGACTTTGGATGGGTCACTCGCCCGCGGCTTTGGTGGCTGTCGGTCAAATGGGGCGACCTCACCTCGGACCCGTCCGACGGCTCCGCCTTGGCTTGGGCGAAAAAGGATGGCTTCCACCGCCTACAGCTCAATACGTTTCGGAAGGCGGTCACCGACTTCTGCATGGGCGGCTACAGCTTTCATGCTGATGTGGCCTGGGCGCAAACACATGCCGTGCGCCACTACACCAGCGCCCACTGAAGAAGGGCGACCGGCGCCGAAGTCCAGCAGAGGCCCAACGTGTAAGGACGCCCAGGAGCGCTGGTTGGCGGACAAGCGCCAGTATGCGAGGCGATGCTGACCAGCCCAACGAGCGAGATGTGCGTTCCGCCCGCCTTCGTCAAGGAGCAGCTCCACGAAATACCTGGATGAACACCTGGGTCGAGGGGTTGGGATAAGAGCCGACACCGCCTCTTGGGCAACGGCTGGCACTGGGGAGTCGCTGCACGACTCCTAACCATCCTCGTGCTGGCGTCCATGGCACCACAGGCCAAGGCCGTGCAGGGTCCGGCTCCGCTACCGGGATGGTTCACACATCGCCATTTAGCGTCAAGCCCCCCACGTCTGCGCTGGGCGCTACCATGTGGGAACACTGGCGACAGTCCGCCCAGCTAGGGCGCCCCGGAGCCCGGCCTGGAACACCTTTTCTGGGCGCGAGGGCGCCACGATGTGGCTCGAATACGCAGCCAGGTCATGCAGGAGCTCTGTCAAGGCGGTCTACACAACGCCTGACAAGGACACGCCTACTCAGGTGCCCCTCATGCTCTACCTCCTAGACCAGCCCAACACGAGGCACTCTTTGTTTGGGTCCGCTTCTCGGATGGTCGCCGCGACCTTCTTCGGGTCGTCCTTGGTGATGTCGCCCCTATGGGCGAGCCATGGCAGCTTCGCGGCCGTTGGTGGTCTGGGCCAGCATGTTTGTCTGGAGGTAGAGCGCCAGTACCCTCGCCCAGGCTGGCCACTGCCCTTGCCTGAGAGCTGGCAGGTGCTCCCCAGGAGCACCGCCCAGGCCACCAGCTCTGCGAAGGAGTGCGGTGCGCTGCCGCCATCGCTTGCGCGAGTACTAGCTGCTCTTGAGCCAAGCAAGGAGCCCTTCAGCGGGCGGTTTGAGCCGAAGTGCCCGATTTACACCCGCACCAAGACCAATCCTCCTCTGGCGAACGCCACGACACCACCGCCCAACAACAAGCAAGACGGCAAGGGGTCAGAGTACGCCTGTGACCACCTCAAAATAAAGTGCGCCTCCCCAGACCACGTCCGCCTCGCGCAAGGCGAAGGGAGAGCGAAGAGACTACCAGTCGAGGGAGCCACAGACCACCACAAATTACGCCTCCGCTGACCACGTCCACCGCCTGGGCCGTCGGCCGCCCGAGAGTACCTTATGTCACCCACGCCACCCATGAGCTGCATGCAAGGAGCCAAGGCCGCGCAGTCTTTTTGACTCACGCCGTCGCAGTGGTCTTTGCCGCCTTAGGGGCGGCAGTGCCGCCACCCGAAAAAGGGCCGCGCAGAGCGGCCTGTCAGGCGGCTTCCAAATTAGATTTGGCACGTTTGAGGTTCATTTTCTGACATTGAATTCATCCAACTATCCAGTACGCCACGGCTCTGAAGGTTCCCCCCTTCATGATCAGCCCTGGATAGGCTACATTAAGGGGGAACTTATTAATAGGAGGTTAGCATAGAGAATTAACATGCTGCGGCCAGCTTCCTTCGCTGCCTTGGGCAGGTAGTCCCCCCATTGCCGTGGCAGATCTTATCTTTGCTGTCGAGGCCTGTTTCTTTGTGTTCAGACGTGAAGATGACTCTTGGTCCGGGATATTCTTTTTTGTTGCAGCCTTCAGTTCTCGTTGTGATCGCAACTACGTAGGTCAAGAAGGAGATTATAGGTTTGTCGTTGAAGCTGTGACAGACGGACTTGCAGATTGAATGTTAGACAAGACACATTGGAACTTCATGAGGATATGCGACAGGCGACATGAAAACCTTCTGCCAGAGCAGGTCCGCATAGTTG